CCAGAGACCACAGGCCAAAACCTGGCCCACTTCACAGAGGTAGAGAGAGAGAAGGGGATTAAATGATCATCCTTACCAGGAAACTAACCACCAGAAAGCTGTAGCAAATCAAAACAAACCACACTAAGGTAAACCTAAAGAAAGTAGTTTCTGATACAAGCACGACGACAAAATGAACAAGACCACCCTTACAGAAACCGATGATGACGATGATGATGATGATGATGAAGAAACAAGAGACAATACGAACACCAGGCAACGTAATACTCCCATCATAAAGACAGACGTAGACACATCCAAACCAGCCTCGTGCTCACTATACCAATGGCAATAGACCTGTGACAAAAACTCCAGATGCGTAAACCAGAGAAAGAGTTCGAAGCAGCAAAATGTGGAGGCGGGCAGATCTGCTGATAAAGGTGTAGCCATGGAAAATGGAGCAGGGGGTTCAGACAGTGGGCTAGAAGCACCAGAAACCAAGGCTGAGCCAGCCACCAATGAGCCACAAGGATCACCCTCCCTGAGTATGATTCCAGACAGCCACCAATGAGCCACAAGGATCACCCTCCCTGATTATGATTCCAGACAGCCACCAATGAGCCACAAGGATCACCCTCCCTGATTATGATTCCAGACAGCCACCAATGAGCCACAAGGATCACCCTCCCTGAGTATGATTCCAGACAGCCACCAATGAGCCACAAGGATCACCCTCCCTGAGTATGATTCCAGACAGCCACCAATGAGCCACAAGGATCACCCTCCCTGAGTATGATTCCAGACAGCCACCAGTGAGCCACAAGGATCACCCTCCCCGAGTATGATTCCAGACTGAACAGAACTCGGAGCAACAGGTCAACCAGGGTAAATAGGTAAATGCACCTATACTTCAACCAGTCCAGCTGGAGGGCATTCACCACGAGACCCGTGATCTGGGAATGGTGCCTATAGGAGGGAAGGTCCCGCCAAACACACAACTAAACTACGACATTTCTACAACATTCGAACAACTAGTAACACCTTCTAACAAGTAGTAACAAGTATCTAGAAAGTTGTAACAACTTTCTAACACATTGTAAAAAGTTTATACCAAGATGCAACAGCTTTGTAGTAAGTTGTAAGGTAACAATAGGGACAGTTACGTTGTGTGCTTGCAGAGGTGCTGGTTCCATGCCGATGTGTAGAGGTCCACATCGGGGTGACTTTGCACACTGCAAAGTGTGCAGAGCCACGAGTGGGATGCGTCGTCAATGGTTTGCTCCATGGAAATATGATGGAAGTATGACAACCAGATCACGAGAACATTGGACACACCCCACTTGTGAACTTTGCAAAGAACAAAATCTCAAGAATCCAGAAACTGAACTACACGAAGTATCCAGTCCCAAAGAAGGAGGGACCTAAGCAAGCCTCATGTTCAGGCAATGAACCAATGGGGAACAGTTGGAGTGGAGTCAGAGCATGGAGGAAGCCGAATCCTCTTTAAGGTATGCCACACAGCTGCAAACTCACACACCATGCTGTGTGCCTGAAGGAATAGACCTGACCACCGACCCTGAGGGACCTGGCAAGTGGTGGTCACAATGCTCCAACCTGTAGCCGAGGTGTTCGTGAACACATTGACCAATGGGTAAACATGGCGCCACAGAACCAAACCCCGAAGTGCCAGAAAAGGAAGCTGGTGAAGCGATAGCCGATGAAGGGCAGAACAGGTCAAAACCCACCAGTCCCAAAAGGGGCGGAAAGGCTGGAAATGGAGAAACTTGAATGATGCCTAGCGAGAAAACCATGCAGCCAAAGTTCAAGCTTCTGCACAACCACTCAACCCACTCACAAGTAACCTTGAATCGCTCCAACACCTGACTGGGATGAAGCTGCAGGCTAAGCACTGCTGCTGGAGGCAGGGAGAGAGAGAGAGAGATACCATCATGTCTCAAACAAGCCCAGTCAGGTCTAACTCAGTCAGGAGTCATTTCAATTAAGAAATTCCAGGTCTCACTCCTGAGACCTGGAATTTCAAGAACAAGAGGTCATAGATTTAAACTAACGAAACAAAGCTGCCGGAGAAATATAAGAAAATTCACTTTTGTAAACAGAGTGGTAGACGGTTGGAATAAGTTAGGTGAGAAGGTGGTGGAGGGCAAAACTGTCAATAATTTCAAAGCGTTATATGATAAAGAATGCTGTGGAGACGGGACACCACGAGCGTAGCTCTCATCCTGTAACTACACTTAGGTAATTACACTAGTTCCTCTGATGTACTAATCACAACATAAAACACAATAAATGCAAAACCTATCAGAGGGAAAAATACATCAATATTTCAAGTGTAAATGTGACCGATGACAGCAGAATGATGACACAAAATGTCATGACAAAATGATGACAAAATACCTTTCGTCCGATGCTGCGAGCCACTGGACACTGGAAACTGCTCCCGAAGCTTAGCTTGGCCAGCTAGTCTCTCTGCATTTGTTTTTGTTGGTAGCATGGGGGCATTCTGTAAAGAATGATAAATACATTTTCATTTGCAAATTCTAAATTAAATTGGTTAAAAACAAAAAACATTGAATGTAATGAAATGCCTCTTTCTGGTGAGTCCTTGTTGCAAGTTACCTGGATAGTGCTACCCAATTCAATTCAATGCAGACCCTTGTGAGTCATTGTAAGCCTAACAGGAACCAAAGGCCCCTGACTCTAAAGAGGTACACAGAGCAGAGGATACTAAAGTAGATCATTTAAAAAAGTACTAGCTTGATACCTGGTTGATGGGGTTCTGGGAGTTCTTCTACTCCCCAAGCCCGACCCAAGGCCAGGCTTGACTTGTGAGAGTTTGGTCCACCAGGCTGTTGCTTGGAGCGACCCGCAGGCCCACATATCCACCACAGCTCGGTTGGTCCGGCACGTCTTTTAGAAAACAGTCTGGTTTTCTCTTGAAGATGTCCACAGTTGTTCCGGCAATATTTCTTATAGTTGCTGGGAGGACGTTGAACAACCGCGGAACTCTGATGTATATACAGTGTTCTCTGATTGTGCCTATGGCACCTCTGCTCTTCACTGGTTCTATTCTGCATTTTCTTCCATATCGTTCACTCCAGTACGTTGTTATTTTACTGTGTAGATTAGGGACCTGACCCTCCAGTATTTTCCATGTGTATATTATTTGGTATCTCTCTCGTCTCCTTTATCTCCTCCACAGAGGAGAGGATACTACTGTAGATCACTTACAGCGGTACACAGAGCAGAGGATACTACTGTAGATCACTTACAGCGGTACACAGAGCAGAGGATACTACTGTAGATCACTTACAGCGGTACACAGAGCAGAGGGTACTACTGTAGATCACTTACAGCGGTACACAGAGCAGAGAGTACTACTGTAGATCACTTACAGCGGTACACAGAGCAGAGGGTACTACTGTAGATCACTTACAGCAGTACACAGAGCAGAGGGTACTACTATAGATCACTTACAGCGGTACACAGAGCAGAGGATACTACTGTAGATCACTTACAGCGATACACAGAGCAGAGGATACTACTGTAGATCACTTACAGCGGTACACAGAGCAGAGGATACTACTGTAGATCACTTACAGCGGTACACAGAGCAGAGGGTACTACTGTAGATCACTTACAGAGGTACACAGAGCAGAGGATACTAAAGTAGATCACTGTTACAAAAAAAAAGAGGAGCAGGGAGGCAGACAAGAGGGACAAATACCAAGCCAAATCTAAGGCTCGGACTAGCACAGCTTGTAGGCAAGACAAATGAGAAGAATAGATGCCCACCTCCGCCTCCCAAAGGAGTATGAACAAGCAACTTGAGCAGTGCTCCCAAGGCCCCTAATGTAAACACAGCCGACAAGACATCCAAGGCACCCTGGAGCTGGTCAAAGAACAGCTCCACCATACAGAGTTCAAATATGCAAAACTGTAGCCAAGTGTGCACGGAGCCCAGAAAGCATAGGCAACTAAACATGCAGCTGCCACATGCCCACATCACGGGGCAAGGATGGCACAGACAAGCACAAAGAAGTGCAAAGGTAGCACCACCCAACAATGCCCGCAAGACCATACTCACCTTATGCCGCTCGAGTGTTCAGTTACGGAGAGTGCCAAGCCAGACCCCTAAGGACATGAGAGGGTTGCTTACAGGGCAGGATTAATTAGGAACCTTGTGTAGTGACCACAATTCAGAGGAAGACAGGTCCAGGGGTGAAAATTGGAATTCGGAACCTCAACACACAAGATGCTTCTGGCAATTCTAAGCCAATCCAGAAGTGCACACATGGGGAAGCCATTGAAGAATATATCTTGAACATTGAAGGTGGGTACCAAACTCTAAGTTGCCCCCCAGCCCCCAGATATTCAATAAATGGGGGGCACCAGAGCCGAGCTGAGGACCATGCCAGATGTAGTAAACAGAAAAACATCTCCCTACACGAAAGGATCTATGGCCATAAAACCTCCAAAAAGCAGAAGGCAGCAAGACATGGTGGTTCAACTACTTCTACTGTTGACCAGACCACACACTAGAAGTTGAAGGGACGACGACGTTTCGGTCCGTCCTGGACCATTCTCAAGTCGATCTACTGAAGAAGGGGAGGAGGTGGTTCCCAGAGAATCACCAATTCCAGAGACCAAAACTCTCAGATGTTTTAGTAGACCCAACACCACCAGATCATAGTTAGCCAGAGGTGGTGACTGAAGCAACCACATCAACACACAACACCAAATGACAGAGGAAAACCAGCCCTGTAGTAGCAGCCACCTGATAACCTTCCTCCAGGGACTCAGTTTAAGTTAAGACCAAGACCCAATGACAACATATTGCAGACCTCAGAGTGGAAGATATTCCTCGTCCAGCAGGAGGTATGGTGAAGGCAGTCAGAGTGGCCATTTAAATACAGCAAACCCAAGGCCCACCAAAACTACAAAGGGCTTGCCAGGTTCCGAAGAATACACCAAGTAGAAAACACCGGGCACAGCGGCCGCTCGTCAAATGTCACAGATGCGGAAAGTAGTCTAGGATCATAAGAGGTGTAAACTGCATTCTGTAGAACAAGCACACTGTGTGACCCTTAAACAAAAATCATAACTGCCCTCTATCCACATAGCCTTGTATTGCAAAGGGTGTCTTTCCCCCGAAGGAGGATGGCCTCTCAGAGACAACCACCTAAACTCACCAGGGAAGAGAGCCCTGCCAGCACGGAGGCAACACACACCAGCAAAAACCTAGTAGTAGTAGTAGTAGTAGTAGTAGTAGTAGTAGTAGAAGTAACGCTAGGAATAAGTAGCTTGAAGCAAACGGTGAATCAGTCCACACGAAAAGTGAGACATTGATATACATGCATGTGAAACAAATATTAAAATAATGAACAAGTACACAAGCAAATGGGCCCAGGAGGACAAAATCCAAGATGGCCTTACTAATCTGAATAACCGGTACTCGAAGAACACGCAGTAGGAATTAGCATAATCGCTGCCGACTGATATAACACGCCATGCAAAATGACCAAGGTGTCTAGCCGAGGCATTGAGAAGCTAGGTGTGTGACCTCGTGGTGGCATGCAGGTGCAATTAGTAAGTAAACTGCTTCACAACCGGGTGGTTCGTCCAGTTCCACATCTCATGCCTCATCTGCCATGTTCATTTATGTCGGTGATTGTCTATTTTTGTCGTTTGCCTTTCTGGCATTTTTTTTTAAAGTTAAAAGTGATTTAATATGCAATGCTCCTTGTGCCTCTATACTCCTTTTTTGTTTTGACTTCTGGTCCCTGATAGGTTCACAATGACTCACATGGGCCTGGCATGGATTGAATTGGGTGAAGCTATTCAGGGAGCCACCATGTGTGCCCATTTAGACAAATAAATAGCCATTAACTATTAAACCATTCCAGTAACTACATGAAATTACCGCCTGTGCTCGAATTGCTAGAAGCAAATTTTTTAATTACGCTTCCCAATTCTGTTTCGTGTGCAACATGATGTGATAAGGCTTTTAAGAAATTCAGGTGTTTGTTTCTTTTACAGTTTCTCTAAAATTTTTCGATTTGTTAATTGTGAAGTACTAATTTTTCATGACTATTTACTCGACCAAGTACAGTATAAATTGTCCTTGTCATTACTGTTTCAACATTTATTTTTGTAACTGTTAGATTCTAGTGTTTTTTGTATTCTATATATGCCTGTGCCTTTTCAATTTCTCTGAAAATGTTAAATATTTTGTTACTTGGTAAACTGTCCAGAGTAGCTATGTTTTGTGGCCTTTTAGATAAGCACCGGGTTCTATCATTCAATGCCCCAGTTTCTACCTCAGAAATCCTTCAATCTGGCTAAGTCAATAAAGTACACAAACATTATTCCAGAAACCAATTTTTTTAATAATGTTATCGGAAGACTATTAAAGAAAACAGCATCTGAGCACAGTTACCATTTTCCTAATACTGTATATACCTAATTTTTTTTTTTTTTAGTTAACTTGTTTTGTTTGAAGGAGGACAAGCTCTTCCAACTACGAACATTTCACTTTACATTTAATAAAAGTTCATGTACAGTACAGTACTTGCATTCAGTAAGGACGAAACAAAATCCCCGCACCCTTACGACATTTTCCTGGGATGCAGCCTACAGTAATTCTGGGTGCCTGTTCATTGCTAGGTGAAAAGCCACATCAGGTGAAAGGAAATGTGCCCAACCATTTTTGTCCCAACAGTAGATCGAACATGGTCCCTTGATTGTGAGCCGAGGATGTAGACCACTATACTATAGGACCCATTTAGTTATTTATTATTAAATTGATTAAAAAACATTCCAGCTTACAAGACAGTTAAAGCTATATGGGATTTTTTCTTTAGAAAAAGGTAGTCAGGTAGGTGGTGAAATTGGATCGAAGTCAAAGTGAAAAGCAATATCATCAACAGGAAGGTAGTCAGAAAATATGCATTTTAGGTGGCACTGAGCAGGACCTTGAGATGTCCAAAACGTGCGCAAAGGTACACCTGGTTGATACCTGGTTGATGGGGTTCTGGGAGTTCTACTCGCCTCGCCCTGCCCGAGGCCAGGCTTGACTTGTGAGAGTTTGGTCCACCAGGCTGTTGCTTGGAGCGGCCCGCAGGCCCACATACCCACCACAGCCTGGTTAGTCCGGCACTCCTTGAAGGAAACAATCTAGTTTCCTCTTGAAGATGTCCACGTAATGACGGGTCTGAATGTTAAAGTGCTAACACAGTCATGGCTGGAAAAATGAGTGATAAACTTAACTAGCAAGACTTATAATTGATATATTGTACAGTACTTTGTTCTGTAACTTATCATAGAGACACCAATTAGAAGAGCTGTAGATGTAACCTATGCTAACCTTCAGAACCAGTGTTGGATGTAATGAAATTCCTCTTTCTGGATGAGCCCCGGTGGCTCCGACCTAATAGGTCACATCAGCCGTAAAGTTCTGTTTGGCCTACTGTGGACCACGAGCCAGAATCTGGCCCCCCTCCC